TCAATTATAAAATATAAAATACAGATGCTGTAAATCATAATAAAAAAATATTAATGAATAAATTTATAAAAAATTAATATCAATGATTTCAAATTTTGATGAAATATCAATAAATTCAAAATTTGTTAAATCATTATTTAATATTTAATATTCATCATCTAAATTGTTGAGAGAATGTAGTGATTGTTAAGAGATTTCATTTTTAATTAATGATGAAAATTGATTGAAATATATCTGATATTGAAAATTTTAAAATTTGAAAGACACATTGCCTTCTGTCAATAATTATGATATGATGAAAAGAGATAGCAGATTAAAAAATATCAAATATGATAATAAAATGACTAAGAATTTAAAAAATAATAATTTTATAATGATCAGATAAATATTTAAAGTAGATGTATGATATTAAAATCAATTGAATATTTTGTATGAATGAAATTGATTTTTCATTCAAGATGAAACTGTTTTTTCTCAGACTTTTTATGAAATATTATATTGCAAGTATGTGGGAAGTTGCTGATTGACTCAGAAGTTAATACAACTTAACAGAAGTCTAAAGGAGTTTAGTTGATCACACTAATTTGAAAATATTGAGAAGAGAGGCTGAGCATGCTGAGATAATCAAATACCAACAAGAGAACTTGGGTTTTGGTGCTTGGGATGAGAATTTACCTGGCTGCTATGGTATCTGTTGCGGGAGATATTGGCCCTGCAAGCTTTTTATTTCCTTAATCGTGTTTGCCTAGTTGTTCTGCTCGTGCCATAGAAAAGGACACATATCCCCCTCCGATCTCAAAAGCCCCGTGGGCTGACTTTGCCTAGGTAACAAGCATGAGGCAGCAGAATTCCTGCAATTCTAATCTCCAAGGAACGATAATATACGAAATAGATAAAAATTACAAAAAATTCCGTCATCCATTGTATAACCATATGTCTTCTTGGCTACAGAAACCAATTCTCCGCAATATAGCGTTACTGCGTAGATTGTTTTGAGGTTTCCACCATTAGGTTTCACCCCTTCCCCCACGAAAAGCCACCAGAGCACTAATCTATAGAAGCCCATTTCATTATGCAAGGTACGCGATCTGGGGAGATACATGTATCCTTACTCCAGCGCGGGACCCCGATCTAAAAGAAATCGTGCCAAAATCGGTTCTATACAATCTTCCACTTCCTCCTTTTCCCAAAGGCCGCCACAGAAGAGCGGTAAAAACTCTTTGCGAAGGACACATAGATAGTCTTGCCCTCAACCGTATCGGCGGCCCATCCATATATCGCAAGAACTAGCGCTGACAGCACTAGGAGCACCGCAAATGCAATCCAATATTGTTTCACCGTGTACACGCCCTGAAGTTCCTCGATCTCCGTTGAGAAATAGGATGTCATTAAAGTGACTGGCAGGAATAAAATGGTTGCCTTGGCTATAAGAATTGTGGTTCTAGTCAGCCTTTCGACTGCCTGCGAATCTTTGACGGCGATTAAATTGAACACCTACAAAATATTGAAAACAAAGAGATTGTATAGCTGAATTAGCGCATTGACATTTCAGGTGGGGAGCGGATCAGGGTTTATGGGGCATACCATAAACGTCATGGATTCTTTCTCGGCCAAACACTCATCAATTTCACTCAAGGCGTACAGCCGAATTCGATCCAGCAGTCTTTCGAAGCGGCCAATAGCAGCAGAGCTAAGCTGGATGCCGCCTAACTCGCTCGGATTCATCTCGTCATATCCGTTAGATTTCCAGGTGTTCCCCCTGCTCAAGAAATCAAAGCCGAAGTTGCTATCACGTTGTTGGTTAGGATGATGAGCGTTTGCAGGTTGAGCGTTCCTAATCTCTTCTCGGAGCAAACGCTGCCGCTTGAGCACGCGGGTTGACAATCAAATCATAGCTTTGGTAGATGCGTTTGAGGACTGCGAGCTGTCTTCCTAGTTTGTGCAGGTCGTCAATCAACTGCACCTGCGCTCGTTCGACCATACGCCTGCGCTACATATCCTACGCGTAAGCTGTCAAGTGAAATGATTGCTATCACAGTGGATGTTGATTAGCTCTACTCACTAATTGATCGAGCGCAGCGCTATAAGAATGCTCCCTCCCGATAACCAGGCTATAGTTTGCAGGCCAGTTATCGAATAGGTAATAGAATAGCAAGCTGGGCCCTTCCCCGGTTTTAATTGCTGCCGTACCTGTTTCGTTCGGGAAATTCCTCACGTACGTTGTGATGAGTGCATTGCTGTTTTCACTCGCAATGTGCTGCGAGGATATCGCGGAGAACACTAAGTTGGTATTTCGTCGAATGACCTCGACGGCTTGCTGTCGCTGTGCCGGATTCAAACTAGTTGGACTAGGAAATGGGTTTTCATGAATGGATATCACGGTTCCTGCATTATGAAGAGTCAGTTTCACGAGTAGAGGAGCAGCATTAAATAACAGAAAGTGCAGAAGCTAAAACAAACCATCGTCACATATCAGGAGCCAAGTCCAGACTCTTTTTCCGTCCGGCCTTCCCGTTGAGTTGCCAAAGTCAACTCCTGAAACCACATGAAGCGAGTTATAACCCAGACAAAGATCTAATCAATCGCCTTCTCAGCAACTGCCACGAGTGGTAAATTCATAATGCTAGGTTGAATGAATAAAACCTGTTTGTTCCATACATTTCTCTCCGTAGTCCACCGACGAAAAATGCCATATCTTATCGACGATTTGGGAAAGCGAAATCATGCTAAATCCCGTCCCATTGAGGGAAGAAAGCGCCTCGCCCGCCCTTTGGATACCCTCTAGTGGATACCCTCCCTCAAGATCTACCACGGAAGCTGGTAAAGACTTTCCTCCTGATTCCGAACCTGGCTCGGGCTCTTCCATTTCCCTGGATGTGAGCTTGGGAGAGAATGCCCGGATATCTTGTGAAGGAGTAACAGGCTTCGAAACCATCATCGCTTGGAGGCGAGCAGAAATTTTGTAGTTGCTGGTTACAGTCTAAGTTGGCGGGAAAATATCAGCACATTGCTCTGTATATTTCATCCCATTTTCTGCTGAAAACAATCCTGATCAGGCTGAACGTACCTGGACTAGCTCCCGTTGGTGTTCGGGTGACCATATATTACTACAATCATATAATTAACCACGGAATCAAATGTACCTTCAAGGTTATTAACCCTACATCCATCTTGTTTCTAAAAATTTGGGTCTCTAAATTTAGCGCATTAGTCTCAGGTATTTCCTCTCGTGGAGCGCGCCGATTGTTAAATTGGGATAAGGAGCATATAAGATAGACAAAGAACACACATACCTTCGAGCTCAGCAATGCAGCAAAGTCCTCCTCCCCAAGATCAAAGGCCGCATGCGCTTCATCGTTCAACGAAATCGACTACGAAGTTCTGTGTTGCTTCGTCTATTAAGCGCCCCCTAG